CTCTGTGGGAAGAGAGCACGGGGGGGTGTCAGGAGGGGATGTGCCATGAGATGGGAAGGTCTGAGCTGCTCCTGCAGCATGGTGGGACAGCATCCCCCACGGGGGCCCCTGTCCCTCCTCCCCGTCACAAGAAAGGTCTTAACATGACCCCTGGAGGAAGGAGCTGTGAAACCGAATGGGAGAGAACATTGTCTCCTGCATCCCTTCTCAGGGGATGGAGAGCCAGGGTGACAGTCCCCACCACGCAAGGGTGACGCCTCTCCACTAAGCAGGAGGTGGCCCCTGGAGATGGCCCTGAGCACCCCTGGGGAAGCACTGTCCCTGTGCTCACCTTCATGAGGGACGCAGTACACCGGCCCCTCATCCGTGGTGTCAAAGGAGGAGAAGGAGCCGCGGGATGACCAGGATGGGGAAGGCTGCTCCACCACGGATGGTGGCTCAATGAAGCTGCAGTTCAGGGTGTTCTCCAGATCATGGTGGGCAACTGCAAGGGCAAAGAACTGCCGTCAGTGCCAGTCCTGCCGGACACCCCAGCCCAGCCAGACGAGTGATTGTAAAATCACAGGACGGTTTGGGTGGGGTGATATTAAAGGTCTTTTCCAACCCAGCTGATTCTGTGATTCTCTTGTTCCCATCCCTGCCCGCCAGCCTCTGCCCCCTGGGCCAGTGAGAAGCTGCTGCCGAGGCCAGGCAGAGCCCTGCTCTGCAGGAAGGGCTGCAGGAAGCCAGCGCAGGCTGCCCCTGCCCGCAGTGCACATCGATACTTCCAGATAGTTGTCATCTCGCCCACAGGTCCCAAGCCCCTAAGGCACGCTGCAATTGCCTGCTTGGACTGGGGGATTCCTACACATCCCTGCTTCACAATAAAATGACTCTCAGTGTTATTGGGATCCCTCCCCCTCCTCTTGAAGATTTATTCTTTATTAGGGCTGCAGGGTCACTAAAAGGAGTGCAGCGATGTCCACCTGCCCTGGCAGTTTAGCTTCTTGGAGAAAGGAAAACACCCCAAAGACAGTGACATTTAAAGTGCAAACGGCTGCAGAGGGGAAGTGGCAGTTCCAACATGGCTTTCCTTTAATACAAACCAAAAAGGGAAAATTAAAAGCAGCCGTCTGGAAGTGAATGAAGGGAGACGCTTCCTGAGAGGAGGCGTGATGACTGGCTGGGACCCATGGCCACGAGGCGCCTCTGGGACCTCAATGAGACCTAGGATATGTCCAGAAGATACAAAGAAGGTGAGCAGCACAACCGGAGGGGGCCGGGGGCTCCTGCGTGGTCCCCTGGGATTTACCTCCCCTGGATGATATATCATGGGGTGATGGGGCTGGGAGAAGCATGGATTCTTCTCACACCTCCCCCCCCCCCCCCCCCTGCCACTGCTCCCCAAAATCTCCCAGCGCCACAGCATGAAGGTGCTAACCCCAGCCCTGCCTGCATGGTGCCCATCGGCCTCAAGCCCAGGCACTGCATGGTGCAGAGCTCAGGTTGGTTTCACCTCTGCAGAGCAACACACAACCCAGCCCCGCGCTGGTACCTCTGACACCCTGAGAAGCAAACCCCAGGGATCCCCAAACCCTAGCGCTGCAGCCACGGGTCAGCCCAGGCTGTGGCCCCGCTGGCTGCTGGTGCGGTGCGATCCCCAGGGAGATGCTGTGGATCCAAAGCTGATGCCAAGGCTGGGGAGAAGCTACTGTGTTGTGGCCACTGTGGCTTCCAGGTGGAGCCATGTGCTGACATGGCACCGTGGTCACCACCACCACTGGGATGAAGCTGCTCCAGGCACCCAGCAGCTTGCCCTTGCCGGGGGGGTCCCTAGACCCAGCGGGGGCTGGAGGCATCGCTGCACTATGCACCAGAGCTGCCAAAACCCACTGGCTCCAGCACACAGGCTGACACGATGAACATGATACAAGCCCTGACCAAAGCCTGTTCCCTTTTCCTAACAACCCCCATCCCCACTACCAGGCTCAGGGAATAGCCACAGCCCTGCCAGGACGCAAGACCATCCTGAGCATCCCTCTGGCACCATCCTCACCCCTTCCCGGGGCTGCTGCTGCCCTGTTTACACAGAGGAGCTGGATGGGCTCCAGCTGCCTCTGGGCTGGCGCAGGGAAGGCGCAGGCAGCCCCTCTTGAGCTCCCCCTGCCCTCACCGCACACAGGCACCCTCTGTCCTCCCCAAGTCCTGCCTGGCTCCTTCCACAAACACGGCCTCTGTTATCCTT